ATCTCAATGTGGTTTTAGACCATCACGTGGCACCACTGACATGATCTTCGCTGCCTGCCAAATACAGGAAAAGTGCAGAGAACATCGTCGTGACCTGTACGGGGCTTTCATCGACCTAACCAAGGCCTTCGACTCGGTCAGCAGGGAAGCCCTCTGGTGGACCCTCAGCCGTTTTGGCTGCCCCCTCCCCAAATTCATCGCCATTATGAGGCAACTCCACGATGGTATGAACGGCAGTGTCTTGCACAACGGCACCCAGTCTGAGTTCTTTCCTATCCAAACGGGGGTTAAACAAGGGTGTGTACTGGCACCAACTCTCTTTTCCATTTTCTTGGCTGCCTTCCTTACTCGTGCCAGTGCCAATTTAGCCAGTGGGGTGGACATTGAGTACTGGGTGAAGAGTCTTTTCAACATAAGACGACTCCAGGCAAGAACAAAGGTGTCGGCAGCTTCCATTACCTCATTCTTGTTGCTCACACTGAATGCTATCTACAGATCCTGAGCACTTGCGTATCTACTTATGCACACTTCGGCCTTGAGGTGAATGTACGTAAGACTCAGATTCTCTTTCAGCCTGCCCCTGGTTCAGCCACGCCTCCATCATCCACCCAGCTTAACGGTACTACCCTCTCTAATGTTACTCACTTTCGGTATCTCGGCTCCCACCTGTCCACCACTGCGGACATCGATGAAGAGATTCAGCATCGGATCAGATGTGCATCTCAAGCCTTTGGCAGACTCCGAAATCGTATCTTCAGCTGTAGGGAGCTGAAATTATCTACAAAGTTAGACGTATATCGAGCAGTGTTCCTCCCCACCTTTCTATATGGCAGCGAGACATGGGGTCACATACAGGAGGCACCTCAAGGCACTTGAAAACTTTCACCAACGTAGTCTACGCTCCATCCTCCGAGTTCGTTGGGAAGACAAGAGAACAAATGCCAGTATTCTTGCTGACACCAGCTGTAGGAGCATCGAGGCTACCATTATCCATGAACAACTACGCTGGACTGGCCATGTAACCTGCGTGGACGATAGTAGACTGCCAAAGCAACTGCTTTACAGTCACCAAACGAATAGTAAACGTAACGCCGGCAGGCAACTGAAAAGGTATAAGGATAGTCTTAAGACAAACCTGAGAAAGTGCCAAATCGACCCCTTCACCTGGGAGACGATTACTCCACATCGTAACGCTTGGAGGAGCACCGCACGAGAAGGTGTGAATACTTTCGAGTTAGTCCGACTGCAAACCGAGGCAAACAAGCGCCAACGCCGGAAAGACGCTGCCACTGCCCCTCCCGCACTCGATGCAGCCCTCCACATGTGCAACATCTGTGAACATCTCTGCCGGTCCCGTATCGACCTCTTTTGTCAAAACTCACGAATGAAGGTGACATCCCTATTGACTCATCATTGTTTCATAGCTGGATGATCGTCATACTCGATTCCGAGTGACAGCAAAGTAGTAGTAGTAGTGGTGTGTGTGTGTGTGTGTGTGTGTGTGTGTGTGTGTGTGTGTGTCAGAGAGAGAGAAATTCTAAATAATCTGGACTCTTGTTAGAAGAGCTTGTCATATCCTGTTATATAATCAACTACTAAGTTCACCTCCGGCCTCTCACTACATATATACCAAGTCTATTTCGTAAGTCAAGCGAGTGTGTTATATATGACGAAAGAATCCAAGAATTTAGAAGTATATCGGCACGTTATAAGGAATATCGACCACCGGACTAAAATTTTATCCAGTATCGTTCTTTTGGTTTAAAATTTTTGATTGAACGGCCCATTTATTCGATATTGACAGAAGACGAGTAATTATTATATTTTGAGAGAAAAGGTGACCGATTTATGAGAAGTATTCCGTAAAAAAAAAATCCTCGCGTCTTTCATGTCTACTTTGACGTATTGACAACAAATGGTACTGTTTGACGGAGCTGGAGCAAGGGAGAGCGACCATCTTTGTTTGCTGCTGTACTGGACGACCCGGAACTCTGGTGCTGAGAGATTGGTTTACTGTATATTTACATGTATCTAAAGGATCATGAAAAAAATGGATCATCTAAAGATTAACCACCCCAGGTTATATCACCTTAAGATTACCCCTCCTTACGTTAACCTAACCTAACATCCTTCCCCCAGGTAGTGTTAGGGGTTTTAATTAGCAGGTAAAATAAGCTGGGGGAGTACTATTCTTCAGGTGATAAAAAAAAATAATAAAAAATATAAAAGTTTTGAACACTTTAGTAGTTACGTCGAAGCTCCAGTGTGAGTGAGATCTCGTCTGGCCAGGTAAGGCAGGGTATCCGAGGCTTTACAAAGTTTACCTGAGAGACAGACTTATAAACCAACAAGTGACGGCACCTCTTATCACCCTGGGTTATCCCATTACTTGTAGGACTTGATGAAATAAATACCAGAGAAGACGTGGTTATGTAATAGTCAACAAGTGTGATGTGGTCATAATTATGGGTTATGTGTGTATTGTCTCTGTACATTATTTCCAAAGCAACTCAATCCTCTTTTGCCTGGCCTGTCATGGTTGCTAGGTGGAACTTGGGTCAATTTTAATGTTATATTGACGTAATGTTTCTTTTACACCCAGAGTAAGTTAGAGATGTTCTCACGTCCCCAGAAAGAGATAGAAAAAAATTCTTCCATGAATATCGAAATACTGGTAACTGTTTTGTTTTGTTTTCGGATCTAAACTGGGTGACCGTCGGGAAAGTCCTCACCTCCGTATCCTGTTACTCTCTCCCAATACTACTTACTTCCTGGGTACGAACACCCTGTTGTTGACTCTTGGATAAACAGAATGTTGATAATTAAATAATAGAGCCATTAAAAAAAAGGTTGCTTCATCCGGTGTTTTGTCATACAGCTTTTGTATTGTTGTTATCTTGTAATAACCGTCGTCTGTACCTATTATAATAAAGATAATAATAATACTACAGACAATGCAGGTACAAGTATATTCAGTTCATCATATGTATGGCCATATGGACAACGCAGGTATAAGGTGTACATAGACCCTGGAGGTATACAGTTTCGAATAGTAAACAGTATGACAATTCGACCAAAGATGCCGACTATGTCACTATTATAACTACTACAGCTTAATCTACCACGTCACGATTTATCTTTAACACACGTTGCTCAAATTAGTTTAATGTGTTTTTATATGTTTTACTAGTTACTTTATATTATTACTACATAGGTAATTATTGTACCTGAAGTTAGGAGGTGTGTCCCGTTTGTACCTGAAGTTAAAGAGTTGTTCCGTTTGTACCTGAAGTTAGGAGTTGTGTACCGTTTGTATCTGAAGTTAGGTGTTGTGTACCGTTTGTACCTGAAGTTAAGAGTTGTTCCGTTTGTACCTGAAGTTAAAGAGTTGTTCCGTTTGTACCTGAAGTTAAAGAGTTGTTCCGTTTGTACCTGAAGTTAGGAGTTGTTTACCGTTTGTACCTGAAGTTAAAGAGTTGTTCCGTTTGTACCTGAAGTTAAAGAGTTGTTCCGTTTGTACCTGAAGTTAGGAGTTGTGTACCGTTTGTATCTGAAGTTAGGTGTTGTGTACCGTTTGTACCTGAAGTTAGGAGTTGTTTACCGTTTGTACCTGAAGTTCGGAGGTGTGTACCGTTTGTACCTGAAGTTAGGAGTTGTGTACCGTTTGTACCTGAAGTTAGGAGTTGTGTACCGTTTGTACCTGAAGTTAGGAGTTGTTTACCGTTTGTACCTGAAGTTCGGAGGTGTGTACCGTTTGTACCTGAAGTTAGGAGTTGTGTACCGTTTGTATCTGAAGTTAGGAGTTGTTTACCGTTTGTACCTGAAGTTCGGAGGTGTGTACCGTTTGTACCTGAAGTTCGGAGTTGTGTACCGTTTGTACCTCTTGGACGAAAGAGATCGTAATGGTGTTTGTACTTGGGAAACAGTACTGATCAATTGATATATTAGTAGTAGTAGCTTGTTATTATTATTATTATTATTATTGTTGTTTTTATTATTATTATTAGTTGCCAGTTTCCGTTGCTTGGCTGCTTCATACAGTGCTTGCCGCCGGCCTGCTCTACATGTGACGTTCTATAGTATAGTGGTTCAAACCTTCAGTATGTTGGTGTCAGTGTGAGTCTGTGGCAATGTAGAGGAGAGCCACTGACTAGATTGTGTGGTGATGCTTGTCTCTCTTGGTCAAGTTTATCCCATCCTGAGATTAAGTTCACACACACACACACACACACACACACACACACATTATCACTGGTATATCACAAAGGAGAATGAGGAAATCCTGCTTGTGTGGTTTTATTTATTAGCTACCAGTCTATACGTGGCTCTTCAAGATGTTTTGATAAGACAGTACAAATCTCAAGCACTTATTTCCCGTTAGAGTCTTTTTCCTGTGGGGTTTATCGGCGATATTAGAACCACAAGACTATACCACTACCTGTGAGTTTTATATGAAGTAAGATAATTGACATAGAGAGAGAGAGAGAGAGAGAGAGAGAGAGAGAGAGAGAGAGAGAGAGAGAGCACTACAGTTCATACCTGCAAATGATCTCTGTTTAATGCCCCTGACCTGACCTCTACTTTAATGCCTCCTGTCCTGACCTCTACTTTAATGCCTCCTGTCCTGACCTCTACTTTAATGCCTCCTGTCCTGACCTCTACTTTAATGCCTCCTGTCCTGACCTGATTTGATTTTTTCTGAGAATCGAATCGTGACCTTATTTCTTTTGACCTGACCTGACCTCACCTCTACTAACTCCCCACGAGCTTATTTCTCCAGCATCCACTCGAAACTCTGACTTTGTATCACCTGACCTGACCTATAACACCCCATGACCTTGCCATAGTTCACATGACTTATCCCTCAGCCGATTTTTTTTGGGGGGGTTATTTCACATTTCATTGAATTAAGTCGCCGCCATTCATGTCGGTGCCCTTGATGTGATCCACAATTATGACCTACGTGTGCCTTTGTCTGACTCTGTTGTGTGACGTTTCAGGAGACAGCGTGAGCAAGTCGAGGGCGCTGCAGGAGGCACAACAGCGGCGGGAGGTGCTAAACGAGGAGGAGAGGGGACGTCGGCTGGCTCAGGAGATCAAGGGGTTCAACTGGCTGGAGCAGAAGATCAAAAACGGATCACTACTCTCTCCCGGGTCCTCCTCCACCCCCTCCACCCCAACCACACCCAGAGACCCGCCTGGGCTGATCTCCAAGACGCCCTTCACCTCCTCGCTGTCCTCAGACCCGCCCACCCCCTCCTCCGCTCCCCCGTTTCCTTCCTTGTCCAGGAAGAGGGAGGAAGAGGAACCAAGGAGATGCTCGTGAGTATACCGTGTTGATGTTGGTGGTACAGTAGATGATGCTGTGATGCCTTTACTGTACTGTATGTTTTTAGAGGATGAGAGAGAGTGGGGGTGAATGTTCTATGTTGTATTAAAGAGAGGGAGAGAGAAAGAATTGTTCTCTTGTTCTTTTAGAGAGAATTATTCTTCTGTTCTTTTAGAGAGAGAATTGTTCTTCTGTTCTTGTAGAGATTGAGGATTGTACATCTGTTCAGCATGTATATAACACAGCAAGTATACAGTTCAGCATGTGAACCAGAAGCTTACCTTTACTGGGTATACTGTATACCTCTTACTCACACCTGAAGGTAGAATTGTAGTGGCTGCCCTACGTCAGCCCTAGAGACACCCATGGGTGAATTGTTTTAAGGTGTAGAAGTTGTCGCCAACACAACAACCACGCCCCAAGCTAACGAGTTGCATGACCCAGTGTCAAGTAATAGTCCTAGAAGACCGAACGTGTTAGGTCGAAGGGAGGGATCCCTATCATATGTGATGTCCTGCCTAGAAGGAGAGTTGGCAATGAATGGTTGTTAAGGGCAGTTGATGTCAATGACCGTCTTGACAGATATTGCAAGTCATTATCAGTCCCTATTGTCCTCCACACCTGCTGTCCTCCACCCCTGCTGGCCTCCACCCCTGCTGTCCTCCACCCCTGCTGTCCTCCACCCCTGCTGTCCTCCACCCCTACTGTCCTCCACACCTGCTGTCCTCCACACCTGCTGTCCCCCACACCTGCTGTCTCCTCCACCCCTGCTCTCCTCCACACCTGCTGTTATCCACATCTGCTGTCTCATCCACCCCTGCTCTCCTCCAAACCTGCTGTCCTCCACACATGCTGTCATCCACACCTGCTGTCTCCCCCACCCCTGCTGTCCTCCACACCTGCTATCCTCCACACCTGCTGTCATCCACACCTGCTGTCTCCTCCACCCCTGCTGTCTCCTCCTCCCCTGCTGTCTCATCCACCCCTGCTCTCCTCCACACCTGCTGTTTCCTCCAAAGCTGCTGTCTCCTCCACATCTGCTGTCATCCACTCCTGTTGTCATCCACACCTGCTGCATCTACCCCTGCTATCCTACACACCTGTTGTCCTTCACACCTATTGTCCTGCATACCTGCTGTCCTCCACGTCTGTTGTCCTGCACACCTCCTGTCCTCTGAACCACATGTGATCTCATCCATCCCTGCTGTCTCCTCCACACCTGCTGTCTCCTCCACACCTGCTGTCTCCTCCACATCTGTCGGAGGTTGGACTTGATGGTGTCCAAACAGGTTCAGTAATGGCAGCTAACTACACCATATTAATGTGTAGTGTCGACCGAGTGATGCGAGGGACCACGGCTCTTAATGGGTAATGACACCGACCAGTAAACTTGTATGGCGATTTTATCTTATCTCTATATCTATCTATCTAACTACATACTATATCTGTCTGATTATCTATCTACCTTGAAAACCCATACTACATTTAAAGAAATAGATTGGCATTTAAATTGTTTCCAAGTCACTGAGCACCGAAGCTGTATCGAAATAGGGGAATGTTGTTCATTTTCTCGAAGTGATTTTGATGTATAATATAGAATGGAAAGGGGACCACCACGTCATGATAATTGGTAATTGAGAACCTTCGACGTGTTGGGAAGTCCGAGTTTATTTAGAGCCGAGACGGTGATAATACTCACTTGCTGGACACACAACCCCGCCGTACACACACTGAGGTACTACGTGTCTGCCAAGTGAAGGCTGCTGGCTATCAAGTGAAGGCTGCTGGCTATCAAGTGAAGGCTGCTGGCTATCAAGTGAGGGCTGCTGGCCATCAAGTGAGCGCTGCTGGCTGTCAAGTGAGCGCTGCTGGCTGTCAAGTGAGCGCTGCTGGCTGTCAAGTGAGGGTTGCTGGCTGTCAAATGACGGCTGGTGACTGCCAGGTGAGAGCTGATGCTAGGTGTTTCCACTGTGTGTCAAGGGTGGAGTGCTGTCGTTTTGAAGGTGTATTACAACTCTCCTTCTGAATTGACAATACAGAAGTTATTTTTAAAACAGTATTGTCAACATAAGTGTGTCTTAAACACCGAGAAAGCCATACACCTTACATAAGTACTATTTTTGTTAAAACTTTGCTTACTGAATGTTGTATCGTCATACTCCTCGCCTCAAAAGTGACATACTGTTTAGAGAATGAAACTTTTATTAGATTTTGTTATATGTCTGTGAACTGCTTGGAAATACGATAAATTAAAGTACTCTGTGTGTGTGTGTGTGTGTGTGTGTGTGTGTGTGAGGGGGCAGGGAGAGGATATTTGAGGCGAGCCAGCAACACTGCCACTCTCCTATCCCTTACCGTCACCCTCCACGCATGTGATATACTTTTTATCCTCTTCACCACTGATCGGCTCGTTAGCCATTTGGGCGATCGGTTCACGTCTCTGTTACGCACTGTTGGCAAGTACTGGGCATGTACCAGTTCCTGAATGTACTCGAACCTGCTCCAGTGTTGGTCAAGTCTGGTCTTGAAAGAGCTCACACTCATACAGTAGGTTTCCCAAGGTCCTCCAAGTTTTGTTGTGTGGGTGTGTATCATCATGGCATGTGTTAGGCGGACGTTAGTGAGATGTGTGTGTAGGTGTATAATATTATTGAGTTAGAGAGAGAGAGAGAGAGATTAAACAAAAGTGAGGAAGGGAGCCAACACGTGGCGGCTACAGTTATGGTACGGTACTTGCTTTGATCTCATCTACTGCTTCCGGTGATAGAATCGTCCTTCCGGTGGCCTCGTGTAGGATACCAGGAGCAGGGTCACTAGACGTTAAGGTCATTGATAAGGTGACTACTCGGTAACTGCTGTTTGTTGGGCGCTGTAATATTTTTGTAGTGCTTGGGGTAAATCTGAATTATCGTCCAATAGCGTTACTTTCCTTTATCGGAAGTGTTTAGAAATGATCATAAACACTTGTAAAACCTGTTATTTATAATTAGCGTTTCTCAAAAGATAATTGTAGCGTAGATGGGGGAGGTGGGGGAGGAATATCTCTTGCGCCATCGATATTATTGTCACAGCACTATTGGCGCGGTCACTCCCCTGGACGTTGACGCTGTTAATGACTTCGTTTGTGTGTCGTCTGCACAGACAACTAAAACTGCATTGTTTGTCGTCTTTGAACTGACACGTATTGTGACTTGGTGATACATGTCATAATTTATGAGTTGTTGATGAATCGGATGTTTTTGCTGTTGTCTTCTTAGTGTTTATCGAAGAGTGGCCAGAATATAATGGCGGATGGTTATATAGTACCCATGCACCCATTTCCTCACCTCTTTTATCTCTCCTCCCCCACACAGACACTTGTGCATCCGCCCTACACCCTCCACTCCACCCACTTACTGTATGTAAAGTACTGTATCTATACAATAATTGGGTACAGAAAAAATCTTGAATTTCTTACAGGAGAGGCTCCTGATACTCTGTACACTGTATTATATTTTCTATGCGATAAGATAAACATTTCAGTATTTTCTTCACTTTGGGCGGTCGGTCACTTATCTGTTATGCACTATTGGCAAGTACTGGGCATGCACTGGCTCCTGAATGTATCTGAACCTGTTCCAGTGCTGGTCAAATCTGGTCTTGAAAGAGCTCACACTCGGTGGCGTCACAACGCTCTGGCAGGTTGTTCCATGAGTTCACAATTCTCACTCCGAAAAAGTTTCCCCTCACAGTTTTCTGGATTGTGGCTTCTTCAACCTTGAGCTATGAACCCTTGTAGGGGGAGGGAGGGGTGTTCTCCAGATATGGACACTCGACTGAATAGTGCCCTTTGATATGTGTATACACCTCAATTAGGTCACCCCTTGCCCGTCTGTAGCACCCTGTATAAGCTAGGCAATTGCAGGTGCTCTAATCTCTCTGGATAACTGAGGTGCCGAAGTGCAGGTACCAGTCCGGTGGCCATCCTTTGGACATTTTCAATCATTTCACAGTCTCTAACAGGGGCAGATACAGGAATATCAAAAGGGTGGGTCCAAAAAGTTGTGGGTGATGGGACATGGTGAGCACAGTGAGCCCACCCGGCTGGGGGAGTTTTTTAGGGAGAGCTGTAAGCACCCCCCACCCCCAAAAATGTTTTAAATCTGACCAATATCATGGGCATTTTGAGGCCACCTGCACTTGATTTTAAGCAGATATTCTGAGGTCAATAGTGATTACTTTTTATTATACAAAAAACGCCCGAGTACAATATACAGTACTGCATTAAGGAAAAAACAGTATTACACCACTGTGACAACAGTGATGGAAACTAGGCAATTGTCAATAGCACACAATTAGGTTATTATAGCCCCCTGTTTTTACTGAATTAACAAACTTGGAAATTTACACCCGCACACCTCAGCTGTGAGTACAGCTGGTTCACTCGCATACATCACAAACAATAATACTGGTGATAGTAAGATTTATGGTCAATATACTCAACCTGCGACAATTGTATTCCCGATAACCATCCACAATAATTCATACAAGAATTGTTAGCACATACAGTCAGGATGAGTACGTCAGGTTTACACCACTGGTATTCACCGAGTGTAAACTCTTTCAAGACCAGACTTGACCAACACTGGAGCAGGTTCAGGTACATTCAGGAGCCGGTGCATGCCCAGTACTTGCCAACAGTACGTAACAGAGACGTGACCGATCGCCCAAGTGGCTAACGAGCCGATCAGTGGTGAAGAGGAAAAAAATAAAAGCAAAACAAATGCCGGGCAGCTACACTCTGGAGCCGCAGCCGAGTTCAGTGCTCCAGAGCTCACCCTCCCTTGACTAGCTCCCTGGAGCTCGTGATGCACTCAGATCTTAATCTCAATGTATTAAAGACGTTATGTATAGTAATGGCAACAACACCTGCAGAGCCTGGTAGAACGGAGAAGCGTCAAGAAGTGGCTAAAGTCAAAACAAAATGTCACAAAACACGTCTGGCAAGGGAACA